ATTCATCCCGTGATATCGATGTCGACCAATTTAAGGTAATGACTGGTTGCGTATAATTTGCCCTCTACTTTGAAATAGTATCGTTAAAAATACCATCCTTTACTTGTTTTTGACATAATGGTGTTGGAACGTTTTACCCGCAGACCTATAAGCCTCACTATAACTTATGTGCCAGTGCGTGTATATATATATATATATATATATATATATATATATACATTAGTTCAATCTGTAATACTAGTGGTGCAATAAACATTATTCATTGGCAATAAACATATGCAAAGCTGCAATGCAAATATTATGTGCCTATATGTTTCTGCTGCATAGTTTTCGTTCAATTTGCCACATATTCTAACTCAAATATATTGAGCAAAGGCATTTGAAATTACGCAAATATGATCAATATCCGTGTTACGGTACAATAGTAGGCAAACAGATTACGTATTACACTAATACTTAACACTGGCATACGATTTTGATTTTCATAGTAAATCTATTTTCAATAGAAATTGTTCCCGATAGCATTTAACAATCAATCGACAGTGACGCAAGTAAAAGCAACAATTTTCGAAATCAATTCTACGCGCGATGTGGAATTGATTTCGTGAAACCCGCGATGTGGAATTTTTTTCATTAGAATCTCTGATGAAAATTTTTACGGAACAAATGCAACATACCATTTCAATTATTTTTCAATTCATTCATATTTCCAAACTCAGGCAAATGGAATTTGTTTGATGGTTCAGAAATATTTCAATTTTAATTACATTCCAGTTATTTTTAATTTCTATGAAATAGACATTCTCTTCACTGTTAAAATTTGAAAATGGTTCTTGAAGCTGCGTTGTAATTCCAATGTAGCGCCTGTAGTAGAAACGGTTTCCAGAAAATTAAACTTTGAGATAAAGGGCACATTTTCTTTATTCATATACCAATTGTTGGAGAGCATTTGATTTTTTGTGTTTTGGGTTAATTTAGCACTTCTTATTTTTTTAAATTTTCATTATATGTTTAAGAAATCTTTTGCTAGTTGTCTAGAAACTTGTCTATATAGATTTTTTTTCATTCTTTATTTTATTTACAACTGTCCAGTTAAAGACATTTAGTAAATTTGGGGAACTTACAATTTTCAGCCGTAAATGGACATTGTATACTACAGTGACATGTTGGAAAAACAGCTCAGTAGTTGTTTTTCCGTTAGTTATAATATTAACAATATTTTAATGATAATTATGTAAACTTAACTATTTTCTTAATTTCTCATAAATAATAACAAAGATATTTCTATATTTATCAGGAAAGTTGATGACTTAAAGCAAGTGCCGATTTTCTCTTCAATCTACGTCGATAGTTTTCTGTTATTAAGTATTCTATATAGATAAAAACAAAAACGTTTTTTATACAGATATCGATTCATTTTCACGGCATTATATATAATATATATATATATATATATATATATATATATATATAATTGATTTATTTTTTTATTTGTTTTTTTTTTGTTATTACATCCCGTTTATTATAATACCTAACCTAAATTTAGACATAATTTAGTTCAATATTAAAAGGTAAAGCCCCGGGCTTTTCTTTTAAAATTCGATGTTATTTATCAAATTAATTACTCAATGTCTTTCTATAAAGGCAGATTGTAATTTATAAGAAAAAATAGAAACATATCTTGTTTATTCTTTTTCACTAGCATGATTACTTTTAAATTATTCTGTTCAATGTGGATTTTGTATTTTTACTATATATTTGCCTGTTTTATCCACTAAAAAGAGAAAATAAGGACTCAAGAACAAAATTTACTTTTTCTTTCTATTATTTGGATGAATATCAGCTCAAACTTTTTCATTTCTATTTTCATATATTTCACCATTTATATTCATTACTAATGTAAAAACCAATTCATTAGAAATATACTTATGTATACATAAAATAATTGTGGTTATTCATTAATTTGTAATGAATCATACGACTACATCAGAATATAATTGCTTTTTCCAATTTAATATTAGTTTCATGATAATTCTTTTGCTCAGTTTCTAGGAATTCATCTTATGTGAAGGACATATAAACCTTGGGTATATTTCAAATATATGCACATTTCTAGAATTACTTCTATTTGCTGAGAAAGTTAAATAAACATACTGTAGTTAATATTAAATCTTTTAATCTTATAAGTAATTAGATCTTTAAAATAAATAAGTTAAATTTGTATATATTGACTATCACATTCATCATTTAATACGTTTACTCAACAATTTTCATTGATTTATCCCGGAAATATAAGTTTGAATGTGTCCTGCGAATTTAGGCTCTGATGTCTTTTCAATGACTTGCTTAACACTACTAAATTTTAATGATGTAGTAAAATGCTGCCGCCCGCAAACTCATTAACGTCCATTCCCAATTTCCCATCTTTGTTCAAATGGTCTTTCCACAACTTATTCCGCGCACTCATGAACAAGATCATAAAGCTGCGTCATTCGCAAAAATGCCATCATTATGCTGCGTGTCTTTACTAGGTCTACTTTCCAAAGCAAAAAATACTTGATGGAATTCCCTTTTCCCTAAAGGTTTTATCGAAACCAACATCTTATAGACATCGCTGTACTTGTTTTTGCTTTTAGTCCATAAAAAACGTAATTCGATGACTCATATTATTGATAGGTTATTTAAAAATGAACTTTTGTGTTGATCTGTAACAGTCTTATGTATATAATTTTAAATTAAATGAGATTGCAATAATTGAAATTGAGATTGAGATTCCAATTTATATTTTTAACCAAAGTGTATGCTATAGAAATCGTAAAAAACGAAAATTAAATTTTATTATCAAAAATGATCATTGCGCATATAAAAATCAAATTATCAGCTATTTTAAAGATTTTCAGTAATAAGTACTAATTGAAGGTTTCACGCTAAAAATTTTAATTTTCAAAGTTCAATTTAGAAAATTTTAAATTTCTGTTTTCAAATTTGTTGCAAAAAGTCATTTTTTATCTTATTTTATCTCATAAGGTCCTCGAATGCCTTTATTTTATCCCGACACAGTCAAGTTAAATTTTAATCATGTTCGTAGAATACGCTCGTTGCCTTGATACTTGACTGTACTGATAATAATCAATTTCAAAATAGTTAAAACAATTAGTATGACTTTCATCAATTTTCATTCATTATTGGTTGTTTTTATTCATCAAATGTCTAATTGTAATTTCCCAATTTGCCTTAAGGCATATAAAACCATGCATCACTAGTTATATTTTAAAGTTTAAATAAGATTTTGTATTTAGTTTTTAATTATAATATTTATTGATTCGTCATTTATAATTATTATAATTATAATTATATTATTATAATTATTCATTCATTAAAACGTCATTTAAAATTCGAATATTTTAAATAAAATTACAATTTTGAACAAGAAATGTATCAGCACTAAATTTTACTCAATCCATCTTCTCAAGCAAATTGAGTAAATTTTACTTACTCAGTATCTTTTTTAACATTTAATTTTGAAATATAATTTAAATCAAAAATATTGGAACTTTTCCAATGTGTTCCACTAAATTGATTTTAACAATATTTGCAATACTAGAAGAAAAAACAATAGTCTTTGAACAAAGCTAATGAGAAAGTGGTTCAACTAAATGCATTACTCGAGCACATCAGTTGAAAAATTATTTTATCATTTTTAGCTAATAATAATAAGTGCTTATTTGTAATAATATATATATATATATATATATATATATATATATTTTTTTAATTACAATATTTATTACAACAGTTAAATAATTAACATCTAGCAATGATGATAATTAATAACATAAATTTAAATAAATAAGAGTGCAAAGGATAGAATTTACATTAAAATAATATCCGTAGTATGATGATTTAATATAAAATAAAAGCAAATAATAATAAAAATAATATAAATAAAATTTCTGAATAATAAAATAATACTAGAAAAACAATAGAATATAACAAAATAACAATATTATAAATAATAAGATAATAATAATAATAATAATAATAATAATAATAATATTTTTATTAATGTTAGTGTTTACAAATGGCTATTTATGAGATCATTGGGAATTTTTCGTTTTAGCCTGGTTGGGCGCACTTCTGAGAATACTTTTTGTGCCAAGAAATTTGGGTGTTCGTCAATTCTTTTTTTATAGTTGTCTGTTTTTTTGTTGAATTACTTCATTTACTGTCATCATGTTGCTGTCCTGGTGAATCAACCAGCTGGGAACGTACCTGAGTGCGTTCAGTGCCTGCCGTATGATCTTGTTCTGCACTCGCTGAATAATCTGCATATTGTTTTTTTTGACGGTGCCCCATAGTTGAATCCCATAAGACCACACTGGTTTGAAAATACATTTGTAAATAATTAGTTTGTTGTTTGTCGACAGTTCGGATCGTCATAAATGATTGTAATTTATTGTTCTACATAATATGGTTTAGGCTAATATGAGTAGAATCACGCGTTTTTTTCTATAAATTTTATGGTGACATCAAAAAGTGAGTTTGAAAGAAGAGGCTACTTTGGCATATTTTCAATGATATCTCGGCCATAAGATGAGGTACAAAGATGAAAATTGGTATATTGCATTAAGGCAAACCTTTAAAATAGTGTAAAAATCATTTGAATACCAAAGAGGGCCGATTTTCTGTGCCAATGCGCCCATACCAGTATTTGAATTATTGTTTATATTACCAGTATTTGAATTATTGCTTTTGTTTAATCTTTTCAACAAGGCATTTGTTAATGCTATCCAGAACATACTACCATTTGCTATCATTAGCAATAATTATTAATAAAACATAGAAATACTTAAATTCTGATTCTCAACAGGTACCTATAAGCTAATTAGTATTACTTTATATACTTGTAAAATACATAATTAATTAGTAAATTACCTGAACGTGTTATGAGTCGCCGTATTATCATTATACCTTATCTTAACCGTCTTGTCTTTCCTCAGGGGCTGTGGGCGGTGACGGCGGTGACGATGGCGACGATAAGGAGAAGGAGGAGGAGGCCGAGCGCGAGCGACAAGAAGCGATCCGCGAGGCCGAGGAACGGCGCAAAGAGAAGCATCGTAAGATGGAAGAAGAACGCGAGAAGATGCGCCAAGAAATCAGAGACAAGGTAAGTTACTCAGGTGGTGATAGATAGGAAGATAGAGTTATTATTATGCACTTTGATATACATGGTTTTATATGTTCTCTATCTGCATTGCATTTATTTTGCTATTATTAAGTTGACCATACGTCCCGGATTGGCCGGGACTGACCCGGATTTCACTTCTTGTCCTGGATTTGTCTAAAAGCAATATTTGTCTAAAAGTATAGGTTTACATTGAGCCATCACAATTACTTGATAATAAAATTACAACTTTCAAATCAAATATTTCAAAATCAATATCATATCATTATGCACATTGATATATATGGCTTTATATGTGTTTTATCCAAAGTACCAATATCAATATTGCTTAACATCACAGCATTTATTTTGCTATTATTAAGGTGACCACACGTCCCGGGTTGGCCGGGACAGTCCCGGAATTCCACCTCTTGTTCTGAGTTTTTCTAAAAGCAATATTTGTCCCGGATTTAGATATTTGTTTCGGAATGTCCTGGGTTTTCTAGAAGTATAGTTTTAGATTGTTTTTCCGCAATTACTTGGTAATAAAATTACAACTTTCCATCTAATATCTCAAAATGATATATAAAACGAGTGTGCTTATATGAAACAATACGTTATGAATGAGAAAATTGGCGATAACAAAGTCGGGTTAAAATTAAAGTGACCATACGTCCGGTTTGGCCGGGATATTCCCGAATTTTAACCTTGTGTCCCGGGTTATTTCAAATGTAATATTTGTTCCTGATTTAGATCTTTTGTCCCGGATTGTCCTGATTTTTTGAAAATTAATAGGTAAATTAACAAAAGTTATGAAAACAAATGAACAAGTACTATTTTTCCAAATTAATTATGAAAAAAGTGATATAGAATTTTATACAAGACTTAAAAGCGAGAGAAATATAAAATGAAGATCGAAAAATATAAGATATAATATCATATCATAGATAAAAAAGTATTACATATAATCGAATAATAAAGTTCTTACTAAGAGTCCGCAACTCTGATAAAAAAATATTCATATAAAAAACTACTTTTTTATTGTATCCTTAAAAATAGCATATGCTATTTTAAACCCCCCCCCCCTCCACCCGTCCCAGGTTAGCATATCTAAATATTGCAGTCCTGGTTTTGAATTTTGAACATAAATTTTTAATTTTATTTTAACCTTCGGACTATCTGACACATGTTCTAATTTTTAATAAGTTAATTATAAAGAAAATTAAACAGAATTTATGCAATGTTTAAAGGCAAAAAACGTATATATCGAAAAATAATAGATAATAATAAACAACATATAGTGAAATAATAAAGTTCTTACTAAAAGTCAGTACATAGTTCTTATTTAAACTAGTTAAAAGTGACATTTTATCTTAAGGCAAGTTGCAAAAACTTACAGTTTGATTATTGCAAGAAAATAAACAAAAAATTTACCAAAAACTCTTTAAGTCGGAAGCTTTTTAGGGCACTTTGTACTGCTTCATATTTAACTAATTGCTTATTATATAGTTAACTCAAATATAATAATATATACTCAATTATTTACAATGTTACTGAAAATATCAAGCACAATTCACACATAAATATAATAATTTAATAAATGTTTAATTTATCTTAGGTTTTATTTAATTTTATTCATTACTCTATACAAATAAAACTATCAGTTACACTTTTAATTATAAGGATTTCAAATACAACAATTTTAAATCTCTTTTATAAGATAACTCCATTAAATCTTTTTTAGAAGCTCTGCGCAAGCTTTCTTTCACTCAAAAATGTGTTTACCTCTTTTTATTTTACCATGAACTTTT